TCTTGATAATCAAATGGTAAAACAGGTAGTCGACCATACATCATTTCAAATGGTATTTGTTTCGTTGAAGAATGAATTGAAGCATTGTAATTAAATGTAACGAATGGTAATTGATCATCCCAATCGGTTTTACGTAAATTTGATAAAGCTGCAATTTTTGCATCCATTGTCGAATTAAATCTTTCAACTTGACCGTTTGTTTGAGGATGATATGGTGTTGAGTATAAATGTGTTGCTCCAATTTGTTTAATTAATTCATCAATTAATGTTGAAGTAAAATGAGTTCCATTGTCAGTAAGAATACAACGAGGAGTTCCAAATTTTGAAATAATATCTTCTTTAAGAAATCTAACGGCTGTTTGAGCAGTATTATCTCTTACAGCCTTTGTAACGACGAATTTTGATAAAATATCAGTAAGAGATATAATATATTTATTTCCACGTTGTGATGTTGGAGTAATAGGTCCATGGAAATCCATTGATACTAATTGCCAGACTCCATCAGGAGGTTTAATAGGTTTTAATGTACCAGGATTTTTCTGTCGACGAGGATTAAATTGTGCACATGGAATACATGACTTAATATAATTATTAATATCTTTGTACATTGATGGCCAAAAATAACGTTGTTTAATTTTGTGTAATGTTTTATCTCTTCCAAAATGAGCACCATTTGCTGCAGTATCATGATAAATTTGTAAAATTGTTCTTCGGAGATCATCTTGTGGTACATAAGGAACTGGAGGTTTTGATCGACGCATTAAAAGATTGTCTTTTATAAAATAATTTTTTTGTTTCTTGATATTGTTTAGAATATTTTTTGCATAATTATCATTTTGTTGAGCTTGAATTAATTCTTCAATTGAAAATGGAATTTTGCGATTCTCTTTAACAGAAGTATTTAGAGAATCTGATTTTAATTTTGATATATCTGCAATATCATTTAAAGTTTGATTTCGTAATTTCATAGCACGAGTTTGAACAGCTGCGATGATGAGTGAATTTTCGTTATTATATAAAATATCAGTTTGTGTTGATTTTGAAATGAAGTGTGTAGTTTCGTCAGGATCTTCTTCAGCATCGTCAACGGGAGACCTTGATAAATAATCAGGCATCGAATTTGTTAAACCTGGAATATATTTCACCTTGAAATCATATTCTAGAATCTTCAATCTCCATCGTTCACATCGTTTATTAATTTGTGCTTTTTGATTCAATTGTGTTAATGCTTTGTGATCAGTTTCCCATGTAAATTTAATTCCGCTTAAATAATTATGCCATTTGTCTAATGCACAAATAAATGCATAACATTCTTGTTCCATTGGAGACCATTTACGTTGTGCTTGAGTAAATTTCTTGGATAAATATGCGA